TCAGAGGTTGTTGATTGGAGCCTTTTATAGCTCAGCATATTAATAAGGCATTACTTTTTATACCTTGTCTTTATAATTTTCTGCTGGATGGTTAAGACCAAGATAAAGCAAGACCTATATAACAGGAAATGTAACTTTTGTATCTTAGAAGATCAGTCATTCAGTTAAGAGGAAAAAACTAATAATCCAGTCAAAAGGGGAGGAATTTCGGGGTTGGACATAACTAAGTTTGAATCCTAGTGCTATCAATCCCTGCTTGTGTGTCTCCCAACAATTGACTCACACTTATTGGATCACAATTTTCTTAGGTAAAAATGGAGAGATCACTGGAAAGTTGTATTTTCAGAAATGATGCATGAACATTATTTACACTAATGAAGAAGTTACATCATGAAGGGTACACCTTGAGAAAAAAAAAATCACGGTTTGTGTAGACCAACAAGATAAAGTTCAAAAGTATATATGAATTAGACATGTCTACATATTTTTCTTCTCAAATATATAGTACAGTTGTTCAGAAAAGTACTGAAAAACTGTTTGCTCAGCTCATAATCTGCAGTTTAGAAGCATGCCTGATATATACTAATGCTTCATAACTAATTTCTGAATGAGTGAGTGAACAAAGTACAAATCTGATCCTTCTAATTTATATAGCACAGACAAAGAGGAAAAGACTGAAATGATAATAAAACAAGATGGAAATGAGAATGGCTGGGGAGATAGCTCATTGGCATAAGTGCCTGCATTGGAAGCACAAGGTCCTCAATCCAATCCCTGGCAGGGGGGAAATGATTAAAATTAGACATTAAAAACTGTTCATGTAATAGTCTTATTTTATTTATATTAGGGTAGATGGAATAAAACATGTTTCCGGCTATATCAAAAGCATGCTACCACTATTATGTGTTATCAAAGTCACTTGCCCTTAGAAGATGACTAAATTGATATCTCCTTTTGCAAATTAAAGGCACAAAGAGGTCAGGAGCTTTCCGTAGGATCACACAGTGGATGAGTGATAGCTCTGTTTGATTAAGGTACTGGCTCTAACTTCCCTGAAGCTTTGCTGCAGGATTCTCATGCTGTGCATGCCAGGGGCATAGAGAGAGGACAAGGAGAGAATGTGTCATATAGGCTGCAACTCATAAGCTCAGCTAGGTTTTGCTTCATGGAGGAGGACAGGAGAGAGCACTGTAGACTTGGCAGAAGATTGACATGAATCATAACTGGGCCATGGGAACAGGGAGGGGGCTAGTAAAATACACCAAGGCCAAATCAGAAGGTCACCTGAATGTCATCACAGCTGGATTTTAGTTTCTTTTCTTTTACTTTCTTTTTTGCTTTTTTTTTTTTTTCTGAGGATTGAACTCAGGACCTTACACCTGCCAATCAGGCATTTATGCTGCTGAAGTAATTCACCAGCCTCACACTTCAGTTTCTCAGTGTGGGAAACAATGAAATAATTTGATAGAGATGATTATGTGAAGCCATTTCAGAAGAGGGGCCTAGGGGAATATGAATGATCAGAGCAAGTGAGTCTGTGCAAGTTATTCATTCTGGGAGCCTGGAGACTAATGGGGCCATCACTGAATTGCCTCTTCACGCCGATTAAGTACCTTTGGCTCTCTGTCTTCAACCACCTAAATCCCTGGTGTGCTGCATGTGACCTTTGCCTCTCTTCCTTGGGAAGACTTCAGGGGAATTGGAGGAATATGGCAAGCATTCATTGGACCCAAGTTTCTGCTTTATCTTTGCTGCTACTTTGCTGTGTATAGAGCTCTCTCTTTCCTTCCCTAGGTCTTTGTTCTTAAGCTTTAAATTGAGAGAGCTCCCCTGCAGCTCAATCCCTCCTGGGCAGAGATTGCATGAATAAATGCTTTATCCTTGTCTCTATCCACAGCTAACCCTGGATCAGGGAGAGCAGGTGGGAAGGTCACTGTCAGATGCCCACAGGGAGGGGAGCTGTTCCTTATTACACACCTGTGCTGGGTCAGATAATGTTTAGGGCCCTTTAATTGTGATGACACAGCTCAGCAACCCAGATTTACAGAATTTTTTTTTTTCCGTAGGTGAATCCAATTTACATTCTAACTTCCAGGCTATAGATTAAAAACAACAAAAGAATTCAGATTTTTCTCATTTTTCTACAAGATTGAATCTAAGTTCTCAGGCTTACAGAGAACCATGGCTGAAGATGGGGACTCAAGAATATGTGTGCATGTTTGGCTTTTAGTCACCAGTATGTGATCTCATGAGCCTTTGGGCTTTATATCTTCCATAGGATCCTCATTCATAACTTTCTTGTCTTTGCCTTATGTCTATAATTCTAATGTACCACCTCCCAGGGAGTTGTGGAGAATACAGAATGCCTGATTGCCCCAGATGAATTGGATGGAAGCACAGGAATAACAGTCTTCACCGGTAGAAATGCTTGTTTTTACAGCAGAATTTTCTTCTAAGGGTATGATTTTCTATCACTGTCACTCCCATTGCGGAGGATGCAGAGACATATTATAGTTTCAGTTTTACACACAATAAACTGAGGCTTATTGGGTTAACTGACTTATTGCAGGGCACTTGTCCTCAGAAAGCTAGTATCAAAAATCCTCTCTATGTGTTAGTAGAATGAAAATGGAATAGATTGATTTAAACCATAAACATGATCTCACAACAGTTTTGGGCACGAATCTGAGTGTGGTTTAGCTGGCTGATCTGGTCCAAGTCCCCATCCAGGCTACAGTTAAGATACGGCAGTCCTCTTCAGGAAGAGCTACTTGCAAGTTCATGACACAGTGTTGGCAGGGTACAGTTACTGCAGGATGTTGACTGAGCGAGGATTCAGTTCCTTTCTTTAGGGCATCTCACAGCATGGCT